TGTAGAGTTCACTAGATATTGATCCAAGATGTGTCCGTCGGTTCATTATTATAATAGATTCACGGCAATAAATACATCATCAGCGTTCCATCAATTCCCTGTAACGATCCCCCGTCCTAACTTAACGCCAGGGGGGTAAAACAAAACCAGCTTTGGTTTAATTATGCACGATTTCATACAGGAGTGCGCCGTGTAAGCTGACCGGGCCGGTTGTTATGGCAAAAAACAAAGGTTCCTCTTTATCAGACTTACATTGTTATCCATCGACAGATTTTCTGCCAGACTGAATTTAATAATTTTTACATCACAATAAAACTGCAAATTTAGTTTGCATTGAAATAATTAAGGAATAATTGTTAAAAAAGTCTTACCTTTTCCCGCAATCCAGTGAGAGCTGAGGATGGCGGCTAGAATGAAAGCCATTGCAGATACTGTAGCAAATACCCCGAACAGACGGAATGGTCGCCAAAGCTTCGCTTCTCGTAGATAGTACTCCTCTCCAAATTTTCGAAGGTCCGCACTGTTTTGGCGAGTCTTGAATTTGAGGAAATTTTTCATGTTCAACTGAAGCTGTTTGTGGCGACACTGACGATCATGCTATTCCGCGACACTGTTGTTCGTGATGCAAGTGGACGACAGGTCAGGCTGCGTCTGTCATTGTGTTCCACCTGTGGACGATTGAGGTGGTCCTTCTCAACTACCTCCCAATCCTCCAGAACACAATTCCTCCAAAACTGACACCGTTAGCTGATGTTACTGTAGAGCCTGTCTGAAGCATGCCAATCTCTCGCAATTCGTTTGAATCCAGAGCCTGAATGAAACGGCATTGATTGCTGCTGGCGTGTCACACAGTAGCAGAGTCGCCGTGAGTTGCAGCTTCTCTGGGTAGGCTCGACGTCAATTATTTACGCTGATATTATCAGAGGTGCCCACGGGAAACAAGACATTGCTGTACCGAGGTCAATGTGGGCTGCTTCGGATTTGGAAGTATCAGACATAACCACCACTCTCGTTCAGCATTGAATTAGGTAATGACGCATTACGCGAACCAGTAGGAACACAATACATGCGACATTTATCGGCAGAGTTGTGTTATTGATCATTGTGTCCGCGTATTAACAAAGACACAAATATACACAGTGGTTATGTGGTGTTGCTAAACTTCCGAATTAGCTTTCATTCTTGGCGGTATTCAGAGAAAATCGATTTTTGTTTGATAATGTATGCCGATCTACAGAAATCTATAGAAATTATTTGTGGCACTACATAATCGTACCCTGTTTTCGTGTTCAAGCTGCACATTCGGCCCGTCTTGGTCAAAGGAGGGATTTTTTGTTCACGTTCTACAGATTATTTGTGTGATTATTACAAAATCTATGGTCTTACATCTTTAAGTGGTTATTTGCCAGAGCGTTAAATCAATTCCGCCTCCGTTTCATCTATCCACACAATGCTGAATTCACGATCAATATAAAACTTCATTGGTGTTGCGCGGCTTCTTAAACATCGACTGTGTTGGCTTTGGTAAATAAAAAGTGAGTTTGTGTTTTGATGGGGTATCACGTTACCACCAGTGCTATTTGTCGTGGGCAGATAGTCTGCTGTCGGATCTGGAGGAAGCAAACCGAAACAAGAGTATGATCATCGATCAAATATAATTGAGCTCTGAGAGATGGGGCAAATATAGTGGGCGTTCAGAGCTGGGTTAAACGTGCTATGGAGACGGGGCAATGGTGGTGGTGGTGGAATTGGGTTGAACGTCGTGCTTGAGAATATTTCGCTCATATATCGACGTGCATGCGTGTGTATGTGTATGTGCGGCTGCTTGTACTACCCCAGACTTAAGCTGGTTTTATAGTGCTAGCCCAATGAGATACCATGCAGCAGTGAAGCATGAATACCCCACTCAGACACATTATATTGACTCCGAGCCGACCAGTCCTTGTTGTACCCATTAATGCCGAGCGCCAGGCAGGGACCAACAAGTACCATATTTTAACGTCTTTTGGTATGACGCGGTCGGGGATCGAACCCGCGACCTTCCGCACTCCGGGTGGACGCTCTAACCACTACACCACGGAGGCGGTCAGACGGGGCAATGATTGAGCTAAATCACCCGTCAAATAAGCTTCAAGTCCACCTCCAAGTCAAGTATTTGGCTTCGAAAATATATGAGGGCGGTTTTACGCAGCTTTCAGGTAACATATAATGAGGTATTTTACAGTACTTCACGTGGAGTGAAACATCATTATCTCGGAGATGACGAGACTGGCGACCCCCATGGGCTGCTGGGGCATATATACCACTCAAAACAAATAAAAAAACACCCACAATTGAATTGCTGTAGCCAAAGTTAAAAGAAATTGGCCCTGTATGTCCTTAACCTGTTTTGAGTAGTATATAACCCTTATGAAACTAGTTACTCGCGATATTTCTGACATTTTTCGGGAGGGTCAGATGGGAAATTTCAAGTAAATATGCATGAATACATGCATGAATATATGCATGAGCGAGCGTGTTGCTGTGCCCGGGGATCCTAGTGCGTCATGGAGATGGGATGATCATATTAGAAATACTAATGGCATGCTTATAGTCTGTCTCACAGTCCCTAAACGATATTATTTCCCTACTGCCTAGCCCTCCTGACAATGCTAAAGCCCTAAACGAAGCAAGTCTAGATTTTCTCAGGCTCTGAATCTCCAATCTCACATTTTCAATATAAATCGGTTTATTTGTTACTATTAGAATTATATATACTCAGAGAGTTAGTCTAGTATGGTTCTTGCCTGGCCAGGCAGGTCTGTAGTTGGTAGCTCGGGGAATGTCACACGCCGTCAGGATACGATGACCCACAAAAAGAAGTCATTGAACATGTGTGCCAAATCTGCTGGAGGCAACTTTAGTCGCCAAATACAATGACACGTAAACCTAGTTATGTTGTAAGTATGATCTTACACCGCTGTCAGGGACATTCCAGCAATATGGGCTTCACTTATTGTACCGGAGTGAATCGAACCCTTGTGTCACAAACAAAAGCTTTAATGACTAGGCTACAGGAGTTCCTGATTTCCTCAAACGAACAATCATGCCAACCATGCAATTTCTTAACTTGACGCCATAGTTGTGTATATTTAAGTATTTCATATTGGCCACCTCAAGTACTTCCTGGTTCAGTTCTTGTTACGTGAGATTGCAGCCCTTGGGGATGACAATCGTTTCTACTGCATACAAATGAATACACACAGCCCTTTGCAGGACATTCTTAAGTGTGGAGGCGGTGGGGTAGCCTAGTGGGCAAAGCGTTCGCTCGTCACGCCGAAGACCCGGGTTCGATTCCCTACATGGGTACAATGTGTGAAGCCCATTTCTGGTGTCCCCCGCCGTGATATTGCTGGAATATTGCTGAAAGCGCTGCTCACTCACTTAAGTGTGAGCGCTAGGCTCACGAATGTTGTATCGACCTACATGGCCTGACTACAAAAAAAGATTAAGGTTTTATTGAATCTAAATTATTAATTACACGTTAACAAATTCTGCCACACGAGCCAAAATCTGGAATGGATACAAAGGGCAAATCCTGACGGCTAATTATACTTATCTGAGCGAAGACAAATATATCTAATCGATATCAACGTCATCTGTGAAAATGTACGAATACAAGAAGTAGTAAATGGAGGATATTAACCGACCTTCCATGTAATACCATTTTTATTAAACGAGTTAATGATTTGGTATCAAACGAGCGAAAGTTAATGCCATTGTGACAGGCATTAACATTGTGACGTCATAACTGTAAACCATTATGACGTCATACATCACGTGATGTTATTACACAATGTGTAATAACATTGTAGATTTATTAAACAATGATCTCTTCAACAGGTGAGTAATAACCTAAATATCCGTTTTAGAATTGGTCTTCAGCAACAGTTGCTTGTCGTAAAAGGCAACTAAGGGGTTCGGGTGGTCAGGCTCGGTGACTTAGTTGTGGCATGTCATTGTGTAACAACTGCATAGACCGATGTTCATGCTATCAATCACGGGTTTCGTCATACATCTGGAATATTCCTGAATACCACGCAACACAATAGATTTACTAATGAATTGTTAATACATTGTTGGATTACGAAATATATATTAAAACCTGTTTAACCGTTTACATGTTTCGCATGCACATCGTGTGTATAGACAAATGACCAGCTTAACGAATCCCGTCGTGGCAATGCAGTGAAACCAGTTTAACACTGAATTCGGCGGATCTCGGCGGAATGGGAACATGTTTCAACGATTTTACACTTAAACAATGGTTCATTGATTCGGCTTTGGGTAAATCAGGGGAAGCGTTATCGTCTGGATAAATGGGGGCTTCAGTGCAGACAGTTGGTGCCCGGACACAAGGATTAGTGTGAATATTTTATGTCCGCTTCAGTTACTTTGTCAGCCCCCGAGACGCGAACAACCCTCTGTGTGTGTGCGTGCGTGTGTTTGTGTGTGTGTGTGCGTGTGTGTGCGTGCCTGTGTGTGTGTAAAGCTCAGGAGGAGTGCTGAAAAATATATGTTACTCTACCCCACTATTAATATAGATAATAACAGTGTAGCTAGTTGGGTTCATAAACCTTTCATCCCAAATGAAGTTTGATTAATATTAGCCAATAGTTTTCGGACATGATTAAGCAGAAAATGTGTTTCCTGATCCGTAAAGAAGAGAAGACAAGACAGTTCTATTGTCGGAACGGCGTCATGTAAAACGTCATCAATTATGACGTCACACAGATACTGCCTCTACGCAAACGATGACAAGAGTGTAACATTTATCTTAACAATGCTCTGTGAGAACTCCCAATATTAGATCCTTGAATGAATGAATGAAAGAATGAATGAATGAAAGAATGAACGAATGAAAGAATGAATGAATGAATGAATGAATGAATGAAAGAATGAACGAATGAATGAATGAATGAATGAATGAATGAATTAATTAATGAACGAATAAATCTTACCTCTCCCTTCCGTTGCATTGCATATAAAATCAGGTGATGTTGCATTGGAGGCGTTAGTGCAGTTTACCCACAATCCTTCGTGTATCGACAAGTTCAAGACACTGTGTGCTGAAAGAAAACAACAATACTGGTGACACAATGTTTACCAATATTATCATATGGTAATTGTTATACTGAAAATTATTTTAGGTTATTTTTTAAATTGACTACAAAATGTGTTGCCTTTTTGAGTTTATTAACCCTAAAAACAATTTTAAGACCTTGCATGAATCTACGTGGATTTACACAGCGCGCATCGTTTTGTTTAAGTTCACACTACCGTAAGCGCAAACCAATATTAGGTCAAACATCGTCAAATGAGCTGTTGCATATTTAATGCATGACGGGTCTGTGTGAGTGTGTGAGTTAATGTGAGTACAAACCAGATGTTGGTCGATTGTGACATAATATGTTTATGTTTACATTTTTGTACGGCAAGGATACGTCGGCCATGAATTCACAGCGGCAAAGGTTGGTCATCTTGACGTGATGCTTTCATTCGTCACCACTCGCCCCTTTCCGTAACCGCAATTCGGCTTGTCCCGGAATAACACGAGTTGGTCACGTATGGTGATGCTTTGAAAAGGGTGTTAAGAGACACTGACGTAACGGGTTTTCTGAGCCTCTCTTTATCACAATAAGCGTCCAAATGCTCATGATGTTTCTTTAGAAGGATCGAGCCTGGACCAGACAATCCAATGATCTACAGCATGAGCATCGATCTACGCAACTGGGATACGATGACGTGTGTCAACCGGGTCAAAGGAGGACAAGTGAGTGAGTGAGTTTAGTTTTACGCCGCACTCAGCAATATTCCAGCTATATGGCGGCGGTCTGTAAAAAATCGAGTCTGGACCAGACAATCCAGTGATCAACAGCATGAGCATCGATCTGCGCAATTGGGAACAGATGACATGTGTCAACAAAGTCAGGACAAGAGGCGACTAACGGGATCGGGTGGTCAGGCTCGCTGACTTGGTTGACACACGTCATCGTATCCCAGTTGCGTTGATCGATGCTCATGCTGTTGATCACTGGATTGTCTGGTCAAGACTCGATCATTTACAGACCGCCGCCATATAGCTGGAATATTGCTGAGTGTGGCGTTAATAACCAAACCAACCAACCAACCATCTTTCGAAGGAGTGAATAATATACCGTGAGCCTAATGGGATTTTATGAACGCATCTAGTATCTCCGGAAATCACAAAAATGTATGAGGTGGGTTTAGCTCCGTTTTGAATAGTGTTCCATTTTGAATAGTGTTCCAGTAATCAACATTTCCCGATTTGGTGAAACCTACGAGCACAGATATGGTGCCGCCAACCCACAAACATAATCGGGTGACAGGGATTCGATCCCATGGTGAAAGGTTTCTGGAGTGCCCAAGGGACGCAACTCTACACCGCTAATTGCGCCGCGCGTGACTGCGGTGGGCTATATTTAGCAACACGTGTAGTGGACATAGATTATCAGTATCAGCTCAAAGAAAAAAAAACAGCAACTCGCATATAAATTGCTATTGGCCTAGTTTTGATGTACACACTGTTAGATTATAACTTCAGCTCATGTGTGTTATAACAATACACATAGAGACGAATCATTTGGCATTCTTTTAAGCAATTTATTTGTTCCAGAAAACACTAGATAAATACAAATTTGCCTCCTTTGATAATTCATGTTTACCTGAAACAAGGTTTAATGATTTTTCCCTCAACCCTTAAACATTAAATAACTGTTTTGAAGTGATGACAGCAGAATTCAGTGGATGTGAACAAAAGAACTCATTCGTCACCACTCGCCCCTTTCCGTAACCTCCAATTTTAGCTATTCGGCTTGTGCCGGAATAACACGAGTGGGTCACGAATGCAAAAGAACTATGTCCTACCCAGTTGTTGATCACGTGCTTGATAAATAACAAATGTCTGTATCGATATTCTTAAAAAGAATATGGCAGTCCAAAGCCACCAATCACCATTTGCCGCCATATTGCTGGAATATTCTTGAGTGCGTCGCTAAACAACAAACCAACCAACCAACCAATCACCTATTTTGTCATGCATAGTTTATGTTTTATTACCGCTCGCTATTGCCACAATACACTCATCTGTTTGATTATCAGTTGAAAATGTCTATTGTAGGTAATATTCTACAGAAAAACAATTAACAGCACCGGAAGCTGAGAGTGAGTGAGTTGTGTTTTACGCCGCTTTTTGCAATATTCCAGCAATATCACGGCGGGGGACACCAGAAATGGGCTTCACACATTGTACCCATGTGGGGAATCGAACCTGGGTCTTTGGCGTAACGAGCGGACGCTTTAACCATCAGGCTACCCCACCGCCCCGGAGGCTGAGAGCACCCAAAAGGAAATTAAATAATTTGAAATATTTAAAAATAAAAGAGTAAATTCGCATAACACGGAACTTAGACATTTCCTATTAACAAAAACTCATCAAATGTCCTCTTTTCATTATACATTGACATTTCAAACATGGCATGTCATATGGTTGCAAAATTTAATTCATTTCTTACTATCCTTCATTGAACCAAGATATTTTCACACAAAATACAAATAGCAGAAATGAATGATGGTTAAAAAGAGGTAATCAAATTTAAAACAATTCTTCCAATTTCCGTTTTGGCATAAAATCAAACACGGTATATTTTATCTTTGTTTTGCCGTTTCGTTACCATGCTTCTCTGCAGCTGAGACAGCTGTCACAAGGGCCGACAACTCGTGCCGGGTTAATGCACGAGCTCGCGATCACAACGCCATCATTCATTATCTGGTGTTGGCTGATCTCACACAGCAGGTTAATACGACGGATGTTATATTTCTGTCAGTTATAGCCGGCTAGCTTCGCTCATTGATTGCCACACATATGTATGACATATACATTAGGAGAACTTCTGATCTGAACAGGCCGTAGTGGTAGCTGTGGTGACAGGCGTTGTGGTTGTAGTCGAAAGCGTGTCGGTGATGTCAATCATGCCTTTGGCCCGTGAAAATAAGATAGAATGTTTTACAAACTGTTGATATGGGCATAATTTCTGTTTATGTTTTTTCACGTAGCCACCAATATCTGAACATGGGTCGGTCGGGGAAAACAAAACTAAATAAAAACTATTAATAAAGACAAAATTATTTGAATAATGTTCTTGATTCTCATTTATTGTAATTCTTATTTCAAATTCTCGCGTTCCTTTGACTTGTGGCAGCGACTGATTAAAATATTTTAGATAGATAAACATTTTGTATGACGAGTCGGCGGTGTTGGAATGAAAAAAAAAGTTTTTTGGGGGGTCGGCAATAAAATTAGAAGGTCGGTCGGGCGATGAAAAAACACACAAAAATAAAAATGCTGCCCTATTGAAATGTCTTGTAACTTCCGATCTATCTGTCTGTGATTTGAAGTCCTATCGACAATTTTACAAGTGACCCGTGAAGATCCGGGTTAGAACTGATCTTCAGTAACCCGTGCTTGTCGTAAAAGGCGACGAACGGGATCGGGTGGTCAGCCTCGCTGATGTGGCTGACACATGTCATTGTATCCCAATTGAGTAGATCGATGCTCATGATGTTGATCACTGGATTGTGTGGTCCAGACTTGATTATTTACAGACCGCCGCAATATAGCTGGGATATTGCTGAGTGCGGCGTAAACAACAAACCAACATCAATTTTACAGTTGAAAACATAGCAACTTAAGATTCAATGGAGGACGACTGAAATATGTGCATTCGACTTCGTTATAATAACCACTACAACGACGACGACGACGACGATGATGACGATGATGATGATGATGTAGTCTTCATAAAACATCTAACCACAGGGAACAAGTGGGGGAAACTTCCAGGGCCTAAATTTTCGAAGTTCTCTTAGCACTAAGATGGTCGTAAGTGCCATACATAAACATTAACTTACGACTATCTTAGCGCTAAGAGAGCTTCGAAAATCTAGGCCCTGGTGTGCATCTGTACGTGTAAGAAAATAACAAAATGGCGCAGTTTTGTCACCATTGCTGCCACGACGCATCTCGCAACACACTTGCATGTCGTAGCCTTGATACACGACTTATTCAATGGTAGGACATATAAACACATTATTTACACTTGGGAGAGGTGGAGGGTTCCCATTTATAGTTTAGACACGATGTATTACCGAACTGCCCAACCTCTGGGGCTTTCATACCACTGAGTATGGTTTTACGCCGCTTTTAGCAATATTCCAGCAGTATCATGACGGGGGGACACCAGAAATGGGCTTCACAAGTTGTACCCATGTGGGGAATCGAACCCGGGCCTTCGGCGTGACGAGCGAACGCTTTAACCACTAGGCTACCCCACCGCCCTCTTTCATACCAAGTACAATGTATACTTCATGACAAATAGAACAAAGGTAGGGGTCTTCTCAAAAACAAAACTGGGGGACATAAAAGAATATTAGTTTTGATGAAGAATTGATTTGACCTTCACTGACAAACTTCAAGGGCAGAACGTACCCCGACTTTTGTAAAATTTTGGGAGGAAATACGCTATTAACGATTAACAGACTACGTGAAACATTGCTCTCCACGAGATGGGAGGCAGATACAGAGCATCTACAATGCAGTGATCGAGCAGTTTACTGGGGAAATATTCCATCTTGCCTATAACGTCACATCTCCGCATCCCTCGATTCTCTGATAAAAGGAACGATGTCCTTAATCTCCTGATAACAGTTGTCAAATTTACTCTTTTTTAAAATACGAATATATACCTGTACACCAAGTTTCGATACGATCAGAAATGAAATAAGTAAAGTTTACAATATCGAGAGAACACAAGCCATCTCTTCTTGTAATTGTACCAAATTTGTTGGATTTTGGTCTGATTGTCACCAATTGTTTGATTAATACTAACGTCCAACCAACCCATTTCCCTACAATGTCATTTGTTATAATATGCTTGCCAAACTCTGAATACAGACGCATTGTTATATTTGACTGTTATTTGATGTCATGGTTTTGTACCTAGAAAAAAGATGAATAAAAAAAACAAAACAAGAAAAAACAAAACAAAAC